GATAACGACACACTAGAAAACGTAACGCTACACCGAACAGAATTAATAAAATTAAAAAATAAACTAGAAGAATTAAATAATAATCTACAAGACAACGAACAGAACTTCTTTGTTCAAAAACAATTTGTTTATCCAATGGCTACAAGCGGAATCATAACAATAATTATAATAGCCATTGTAACATATATAATTATAAAAAATAAAAAGAGGAGAATGAAACGACCATCGGTCAGGATATACGATGAAGAACCACGTATATCCTACGGACTCCCAAGACCTATACTAAAGCGTAGTCTAAGTACGCGATTTTAGATAGTAAGAAACGATTATAACAAATATTATATACGGGAAAAATAATGTATTCGTTAGAATAAGAAAGGGTATAACTAAAGAAAAACGTTGTACCCCCGTTTTTCTTTTTAAAACGGGGGAAGGATGTTATAGCCCAAAACGGCTATAACCAAATTAGCATAATTATTAATTATTAAATATTATTTAACGTCTTCCGACTATAACTCGAAGTCGAGGAAGACGTATAAAGTTACGAGCGCAATCGCTGACAAAGCGAGCCACGCGCGGAGGCCACGCGTTCGCGAGACTTGAAGAACGGTACGCCGGAAATGCAAGCAAGGAATATACGTAGCTTGCATCCGGGGTTTTTCCACCCAAAATCGAGCGACACGACCACCTATGGTCCTGTCGCTAAGCGATCCCCTCCAAAAAACTAATCGAACAGGAGGTGATAAAACTATCCACCTCGAACGAGCGCTAGGCAGTCTTAATCACAAAGCCACCCGAAACAGTTATATTCATACAATTATACAGCACAGAAAAATTTAATAAAGAGCAACCGCGAAACGGACAATTGAAATCATTTTAATAAAAAGAGCGTCCCAGCTGATCTCGCGACGGCAGCCGCGATATCAGGCACGCGAAGCAATTCTATACCACGATAAGCCGAGTTGAAGTGCGAGAAAGACAAGAAGATTTAAAGCCGATTTATACGAATAAATGACTTTATTTCTACAACTACTACAAAATTGTTGACACAGCGAGACGACCCAGCCCGATCCCGAACTCCTTAGTTCTAATTTGGCCAACGATCCCCAAAAATTCGCTGTGCTTGCACGGAGGCACAACAGTTTCATGACATTAATTGAAAGAAATTAAAACTTTGTTCATCTATTTTCTATACTAAACATCTCAAACGACCTGTATACGTTTTATTAAAAAATATATCATATAAAATTTGCTTGATTTCACGGGAGACATCCTAAGATCAGCACAGTTTTGTTCCAAGTGAAAGTCTTTCCAAAATATGAGGATCACCTCTATTTTTTCAGAACCGAATTATACTGCCTTTTCTTACATAATTTAATTTCTCCCATCATTCTGCGTACGAAAATATTTGAGTAAGATCATCGAGAAATGAATATTTTACGAAATATTTCGCATCTTACTTTAATATTTTTAGTTTAAAATATTTAGTAATGTATTTATTTTGTTCCATGATGTTATATTTTAATGGTTTTATACATAGTATAACGAATAAAATGTGTTGATGTAATAATCTTTTTCCACAAATTCATGCATCAATTGGTGTGCTATCTTCGCGAATCTAGCACGAATCTCCCCAAATTCTTTAAATTATATTAAATGAAAATCATGATTTTTGATATTTCCCGATTGTTCTACACGAGTTCTATATTCTGGAATTTTTGAATATAATTTTGCCAATTAATTTTTTAAACAATTTTCAACGTCGCCAGTGAGATAGCTGAAGGACATCGCGCTTCTTTTCGCGGGTGTCCTACAGTCGTCTCACTCATTCGACGCTCGAATGGAGAGAGTGCGAGTGAGACAATTATAAGGCATTACGCTGGTCTGGCTAGCTATCTCACTCGCACTGTCTACTTTTTCAAGTAGACAGTGCAAGTGAGATAGCTAGCCAGGCTAGCGCAATGCCCTGTAATTGTCTCACTCGCACTATTGAAGCGAATGAGACGCCTATAGGCGCTTCTATTCGCAGTGTTAAAGTTTTATTGGCCCTTAGAAGGGCCGATTGTGGGACAAGCGTGGAAGCATTTTTTTCTAATAATCGGTTCAATATCCATCCCGGTCAATTATTTGATTGAGTCGATTGGGTATCGAATTAATCAAGTTTGCGAGAAAATCTGGTCGGCGCCGAAGTTCCTCCCAGATTTCTCTTGCATGAGCGACTACCGCTGCTACCGTCCTGTCCCTTCTTGGTTCCCA